CGTCCAATGGGAAAGAGGTCATTTTCTGAACTGAAACTGATGATGCTCTGTCTCTTCCAGTTGTTTGTAATTTCCGATTCATGAAGATGCGATTGTACTGTACTGTTCCATTTGAAGGTTTTGTATGATTATGAAGACAAGATCAACCAGGCTGTCTTTCCTGGTCTTCAAGGTGGTCCTCACAACCACACCATTACAGGATTGGCTGTTGCTCTGAAACAGGTTCTCCCTCTCTCTGCACATTTATACATGGACCAACCATATATATCACTCGATTTTACATCCGGGCCGACATTCTGAACAGGAAATGTATAAAAGATAATCTCTCATACATTTCACATGATGCAGGCAACTACTCCGGAATACAGAGCATACCAAGAGCAAGTCCTGAGTAACTCTGCAAGGTTCGCTCAGGTACTAAGCCTGTAGAACCAAACCTCATCCTGGGCCACGTGTTCCATTCCTGTCTAAAAAAGCTTTATCTATCTATTGATGCAGACACTGGAAGAGAAAGGATACGACCTCGTGTCTGGTGGGACTGACAACCATCTGGTTCTGGTTAACTTGAAGAACAAGGTCTTTTCAGCTTATTACTGTTCTTCCTTCTCCAGTGACAGAGAATATTATCTAAGAAAGAGACTGTTTAGTTCTTACATACATTGTTTTTTTTTTTGGGTAAGACAGGGCATTGATGGGTCCAGAGTAGAGAAGGTGTTGGAAGCTGTTCATATTGCAGCTAACAAGAACACTGTTCCAGGAGATGTCTCTGCCATGGTTCCCGGTGGCATCAGGATGGGTAAAAGAATTTATTTATTTATTTATCTCCACAAACTCTGGACAGAAATAGTTGAAATCCTCCATTCCAACTGGCAGGAACACCCGCTCTCACTTCCAGAGGATTTGTGGAGGAGGACTTTGCCAAGGTGGCCGAATACTTTGACAAAGCTGTGAACTTGGCAGTGAAGATCAAAACTTCAGCACAAGGTTCTTTATACATTTTCATTCTCCTTCTCTGTCTGATGATTCTCCCATCCATATCTAAACATGTACACTCTTTTCTTTTGGGAAGCAGGAAACAAGCTGAAGGATTTCGTGTCAAAGATGCAATCTTTCCAGTCTGAGATCACCAAACTGCGCCATGAAGTTGAGGGGTACGCAAAGCAGTTCCCGACCGTTGGATTCGAAAAGGAAACCATGAAGTACAAGAACTAAGGAAGCGAGGTTCTGACCTTCTCCCTGAGGCTGAGGGTTTCCTTCTGTATATACATATGCTGACTATTGAGGTTGTCTGAAACAGGGGAGTGGCCATATTACAAGGTAAACATGGAGAAACTGGGAGATTCAGCAGAGGCGTAAATGAATATTGGATAATGTCATATCTTATGCCCGGATTTCCACGGAATGTGTATAGATAGATACATGTAACGCCTTTTACATACTCTATGCCCAAACCTTAAACTTATATGCTATGTAATGATCAATAAATTCAGTTCACCAATGGGGAAGCGAGTCCACCAATTCTTTCTTCCTATGCCAGGGCCTTTTCTCGTCATATGCCTTTGTGTTAAGCCTTCTTATACTATCCCTGCAGTAGATATAGTTGGTACGGATGGCCATTTCGTTTATTAACCGAATAACCGAACCGAATAAGACATAATTGTATGTGAATCGAATATAACATCAAAACCGAACGGTTATAGTTTTTTTAAATCTGAGAAAACATAAACCGAACCGAATAAAAAAATAACCCATAAAACCGACTATTTTTTTAAAAAAATAATTTTTTTTTGAAACTGTGAACTGAATCGAATCAAACCAAAGTTTATATAAAAACCGAATTGTTATAGTTTTTCTATAATCAAAATAACTGAACTCGAAAATAACCGAAATCCGAAATGGTTAATCATAATAGTTGCGAGGAGCCTTAATATCTTCTTGTTTATGGTTGAGATTCGAGAGTGACATTTCATCTCCCCCGACCCAATCAAGAATCAACGATTATTAATTAAAAAAAGAAGGTAAGAAGAAAAGAAAAATTTACAATTTCAATGGCACAACCTCCTCCACTACACCAACCTGAACCTGCCCACCGTACTGTCATAAATCAAAATTTAGCCCCTTGATTTTGTGTTTTTTCTCATCAAAGCCCCATATTTTATATTCGCGCGCAATCAATCGCCATCTCATCACCATAACACCTGCGCGAAAAGGGGAAAAATTTCAGAAGTAAGAGAGAAAGGAGGAGACACTTCTTCCGTTATCGGTCGCCCAATCATTTTCTGGCAGTGGGCGACGAATTCGAAAAGGGTCAAAAAGAGTGAAAGCTGTGGCATCTGAAACCTGTGTATTAAGTATTTCTACATCTGCCCTCGTTTTCCTTTTTTTTTTTTTTTTGTAAAAGTTTCTCTTGGGGAGAAAGGTTGAGTTTGGAAGTAATGGCGAAAGCAGGAGGGATCACAAACGCCGTGAACGTGGGAATCGCTGTTCAAGCTGATTGGGAAAATCGGGAGTTCATCTCCCACATCTCTCTCAACGTCCGTCGTCTCTTCGAATTCCTCGTCCAATTCGGTTCGTCTCTCTCTCTCTCTCTCGCATGTTCCCTTGTAGATTCTAGACTTCTTTTTCTGCGACTTGTTGTTGGAATTGCTGCAGAATGTTTGCCCAGATGCTCAAGTTTCGTGTTGTTAGTAGCTCGATTGGCTTGGCCAATACTTGTTTTTTTGTGTGCTAAATTTAGAAACTTTTTAGGGTTTTACAGAGAAGCATCCCTGTTTCTCGAGAGATTCATTTAGAATCAAGATTGTTGTCCTGGGGTTTTGGTTTTCAGGTGGTGGGCAGATGAAAGTTTTGGTTTTTAAGTGAGATCATATTGAGAACTTTGGTTCTCAGCCATGCCAATTGCTCTTGCAATTCCATATCTTTGCTCTTGAATGCGAAATTGAATACTATGCAGCGAATTCAGTCCTCTTTCAATGTAATACTTGAAATCCGTTGGCCTGGCCCTGGATTAATCTTCTTGTTACGTCACATGAACAATTGTTTGTAGATCCATCTCTATGGTTCAAAGCACTATGTGGGTCAACACATCTACTTCTGGTTAATGCCTCCTTTTCATATCCTGCAAGGATCTCATCAATCTTTATCTTCTTCCCGAGCGATTCTGCCTGTTCACTGTGGTCATACTAATGAAAACGAATAACGGGGTGTTTGCATTTGTGTACAGAGGCCACAACAAAGAGCAAGTTGGGAACGTTGAATGAGAAGCTGGATTTGCTGGAACGCCGACTTGAAATGCTGGAGGTTCAAGTTGGTACTGCAACTGCCAACCCTTCTCTTTTCGCCATTTAAATTGTTCATATTTGTTAGCATCAATTAAGCTTGTTGTATTCTTACTCAGAAAGAACCATTCATCATCATCTTTGTTAGTTCTTGGAACTTTATCCTCTTTCTCTCGGCGGTTCTTGTCCATTCATAATCGATCAATCTTTGCTTGTTCTTGTAATGATCCTAATGGCGATGGCGATGGCTCTCCGGAGGCTCTCCTCTTCCATTGACAAGGTTCTTGTTGACTTTTTTAGCAGGATTTCTTGATGCCATTGCGGTTTTATCCTATGGGAAACTATGATATTACTTTGTTACTACTAGTAACTGATTAAAAAAAACGTATTGGGCAGGTAAAAAAAATTGTTAAATATAAAGCCCAATAAAGGCCCATTTAAGTAGAAAAGTCGCAGGTCAGAAGATGACTTGTAGCCCACGAACTCAAGGGAGAACCACGTTTTCTGCATTTCCTAAATTGCCCTCGCGACCATGACGCCGACGCGCAAAGCTCCAGAGCGGAAGAGTCGGGTACTTTCTAGAAGCGAAAAGGGTATGTCGGTAATTACGGCATGAGATGCCCTTTCATAAAATGGCCCCTTAAACCCTACGCGCAGTCAGTCATTTCGTTTCGGTTGCGTCTCTGTGCTTTAAACCCTACGAACCTTAAGACCTCTCCGATGGCCACCGCCGCTCTTCTCCGCTCGCTCCGACGCCGCGAGCTCCACTCAGCCTCCGTCTCAGCTTACAAATCCGTACGAATCATTTTCCCGTTTGAATCTCGTCTTCTGGTGTTTATTTATCTTGCTTTGTTGGATTGGATCCGCATCTTCATATCGTTTTTCGGGCTCAAATGGGGCTTAGAAATATCGAGCATGAATATTCGTGGTTTGGTGGTCGTTGAATCGTTTTCTTTTATTGGGATCTACATTTCGAAGTTCTTATCTATTCTGATTTTTGGTGTTTATGAGGAGTAGTCTCCGAGTGCTTTATTGGTTTTCGTGTCTTAAATTAGTTGAATTTTGATTGAGGATCTCTAGTAGCTGAACTTATTTTGGGAATTCCCAAATCGAACATGTATGAAGCAAGCTCTCACGGTTAAAATTCTCTCTGCAGCTATCTGCAAATGGAAATACGTCTTTGGCTGGGAAATTGGGTTTCTTGGCGAGGCCTTTCAGGTACTTCGTCTCCCATTTGCGTTACTATTAATTGACTCTCTTAAAGTGTTGTCTTTGCCTTACGTGTGTGTTCGTCTGTGAAATCCAGCGCCAGACCCGTCGGTAATGATGTTATTGGTATCGACTTGGGTACCACCAATTCTTGTGTGGCCGTGATGGAAGGAAAGGTATGACCTTCGTCTTTTGGTCTTGTTTACTTGGCGGTTTTCATCATGTTTGTGCTGGCTGCTGAGTTGGAAGGCGGGTTTGAGTTTACCTGCTAAAGTTATTGGATCCCATCTTGTGTTACAGACACCTAAGGTGATTGAGAATGCCGAAGGAACTCGAACCACTCCTTCAGTGGTTGCGATCAACCAGAAGGGTGAACTCCTTGTGGGAACCCCAGCCAAACGTCAGGCAGTGACAAACCCAACAAACACAGTTTTCGGGACCAAACGTCTGATTGGGAGACGGTTTGAAGACTCTCAGACACAGAAGGAGATGAAAATGGTCCCATACAAGATTGTTAAAGCTCCAAATGGTGATGCTTGGGTCGAAGCAAATGGGCAAAAGTACTCTCCTAGCCAGATTGGAGCTTTTGTTCTCACGAAAATGAAGGAAACTGCCGAAGCATACCTTGGGAAAACTATCACCAAAGCTGTTATTACTGTTCCTGCTTATTTCAATGATGCACAGAGACAAGCCACTAAGGATGCTGGGAGAATCGCTGGTCTTGATGTCCAGAGGATCATCAACGAACCAACAGCTGCTGCCCTGTCATATGGTATGAACAACAAGGAGGGTATCATAGCTGTTTTCGATCTTGGAGGAGGAACCTTTGATGTTTCCATCTTGGAAATTTCCAATGGTGTTTTCGAGGTATGTCTTGTCTATCTACTGCTCTCTTTTTTAATCTGCTCGTGTTGCAGTCATATAGCAGTTTCTTTAACAGGTGAAATCAACAAATGGAGATACCTTTTTGGGAGGAGAAGACTTTGACAACACCTTATTGGAGTACTTGGTCAGCGAGTTCAAGAGTACGGATGGAATTGATCTGACGAATGATAGGCTAGCCCTCCAAAGGTTGAGAGAAGCTGCTGAGAAGGCCAAGATAGAGCTTTCGTCGACATCTCAGACAGAAATCAACCTACCATTTATTACAGCTGATGCTTCTGGTGCAAAGCACTTGAACATCACCCTAACCAGGTCAAAGTTTGAAGCCTTGGTTAACAAGTTGATCGAGAGGACAAGGGCCCCATGCCAAAATTGTCTGAAGGATGCTGGAATCACGGTTAAAGAAGTCGATGAGGTTCTGCTTGTTGGTGGAATGACCCGTGTTCCGAAAGTTCAAGAGATTGTTTCTGAGATCTTTGGCAAGAGTCCTAGTAAAGGTGTTAACCCTGATGAAGCAGTTGCCATGGGAGCTGCTATCCAAGGTGGTATCCTTCGTGGTGATGTGAAGGAGTTGCTTCTTTTGGATGTGACCCCTCTGTCCCTTGGTATCGAAACTCTTGGTGGAATTTTCACCAGGTTGATCAACCGAAACACCACTATTCCCACAAAGAAATCACAGGTAACCAACTTTAAAAAGAGGAACAGATCCTATTTAATTTGTTTAGATATTATCTGCATCCCAATAGACTGATACTGACATCATTGCCATGTAATGTAACCCCATTCCCGACAATGCTCAGGTTTTCTCGACAGCAGCAGACAACCAGACACAAGTGGGTATCAAAGTCCTTCAAGGAGAGCGTGAAATGGCATCTGACAACAAACTCCTCGGAGAATTTGAGCTTGTGGGTATTCCTCCAGCCCCGAGAGGAATGCCCCAAATCGAAGTAACCTTCGACATTGATGCCAATGGTATAGTTACTGTCTCGGCCAAAGACAAGGCCACCGCAAAAGAACAGCAGATCACCATCCGATCTTCCGGAGGTCTCTCAGACGATGAGATCGAGAGAATGGTGAAAGAAGCCGAGCTCCATGCTCAGAAGGATCAAGAGAGGAAGGCTCTGATCGACATAAGGAACAGCGCTGACACGACTATCTACAGTATCGAGAAGAGCTTGAGCGAGTACAGAGAGAAGATCCCTACAGAGATTGCGACTGAGATTGAAACCGCTGTGTCTGAACTCAGGAGTGCCATGACGGGAGAAAACATCGATGAGATCAAGGCCAAGCTCGAAGCTGCAAACAAGGCTGTTTCGAAAATAGGTGAACACATGTCTAAAGGATCTTCCTCTGGTGGGTCTGACCAAGGAAACAGCGGCGCCGGCGGCGGTGAGCAGACACCAGAAGCTGAATATGAAGAGGCAAGCGGTTCCAAGAAGTGAGGGAGAAACTGGTCTGAATCATGAATTTGAATTTGATTTTTTTTTCCAGAAATAAGTTTTAGTTTGATTCTTGATCAAGAAAAGAAGTTAGCAGATGAGCTTGTATCTAGAATTTTTTGGAGGTAGGCTGTTGAGCTCTGAATCCATTTGAGATTTGCTTGATGCAAATTACTTGGAAAAACCCTTATTTTTATTTTCAAAACGTTTTTATATGGGATCGAAGTATAAGTTGTTGCTTTCGATTGAATTAACTGGAGATTTTTTGGGCAATTGGATAAAGGAGTAGAACTAGTTCGTACGAGGGAATCTTTGCAAGAAAATTCCAATTAGTTTCAGTTGCGAATCAGACAAACTTTTCAGCCGCATTTTTCTTTTTTCTATGTAACTGATGTGCTTGAATCTCTTTTTCTTTTCTTTTTCTTTTCTTTTCTTTTATAAATTTTGAACAAAATTGAAATAGAAAAAGTGGAAATGATGTGAGATTATCATTTTACAAAAAGCGTGGGCTCAATTGCAGACAAAGAAATGCTCAACGTTACATAACTGGAAAGTCTCTTCTTTACACGTATGGTTTTATCTGTCTGAATTTACCACCTTTTTTTTTTGTAATTAACCCAAAAAAAGACCATCTTCAATTATTAAGTGAGAGGAGTGCATACATAATTTATGGATACATATTCTTAAATAAAACCATCCAACGTGACGTATAAAACATTAAATTATACATTTTTAAATATTAATAATCTAATAAAGTCTATGTAATAAAAAAAATCATTAACCTCTTCTTCCTCTTCCTTGTTTCGCCAAGTAATAAATATATTTTCAATTTTAAACCTTTTTTTTTTTACTCTTGTTTTTCTTGCGAGCAGTTTCGTGGGGATGCTTTGGAAATGACGGAGAGAGAGAATTGGATAATAATCTCTTTGGTCTAAACGAGGGCATTCTCGTCATTCCTAAGAAAAGCAGCAGTACAAGCTCTTGCTTGTGTTCGTAGTCGTACACGGAGGAAGTCGCTCGCTATAAAAGCCGCCCTCTGGGGTCCAACTCCTCTGTGGACTTGGCTTCATCGGAAAAATATTTCGGTCATCGGAGGTGGGTTGTTCGTACCTCCTGTTCTTTTCTTTCTAACTATGTGTTCTTCATTTCCCGGTCTTGTCTGGTTTGACTTATGTTCGGTCTCTGAAAAGTCTCGACCTTGAAGTCTCCGTAGTTGTGATCTCGTTGCTTATCATCTTGTTCTTCCTATTTTCCCAGGAAAATCCCACGTTCTCGTTTTTTTTCTTGGATGTCCTTTGGTTTTCCGAGGAACCAAACAGAATTTTTTAGTTTCTAATTTTCAGATATCCTGAAATTATGAATCTTTTTCGATGTTAATACTTGTAAAACCCATGTCTTGACAAATAGGCCTATGTAAATGAGATCGGACAGAGGTCAAAATGTAATCTTTTTGATGTTATGAGGTGCCGGAATCACAATTCGATTGTGTCATCCCTTTTCCAAATTGCAATTTCAGACAAGAATTTTGTGAGATGGACAAGGAAAATGAGCAAGAGATGGAGTGGCTTCAAGCCCAAAAGCTGGAGATAAACGTTGATCTCATGGCTGCAGCTAAGCAACAGCTTCAGTTCCTTGCAACTGTTGACCAGAATCGTTGGCTCTATGAAGGCCCTTCACTTGCCAGAGCCATCTATAGGTTGATCTCATGGCTGCCCTTTCCAGTTCATATTCTTGGCTTCATCTTCTAGCTGTAGATAAAGCTTTGATGTGTGATTTCAGGTACAATGCTTGCTGGCTTCCCTTGCTTGCCAAATACTCGGAGGATTCGTCTATCCGTGAAAGCCCTTTGGTTCCTCCTCTTGACTGTGAATGGGTTTGGCATTGCCATAGGCTGAATCCGGTAACCTTTACGATAACACATCCATATACATAAGCATATCCATTGTTGATAAATCTCTAGCCACGGAGAAATAACTTAAATGTATTGTTGTCATATAGGTGAGATACAAATCTGACTGTGAGCAGCTTTACGGGAGGGTTCTTGACAATTCTTACGTGGTATCTTCCACAAACGGGCACTGCAAAAAACAAACCGAGGATCTCTGGAATGTGCTGTATCCTGAAGAGCCTTATGACATAGATTTGGTTAAGGCAGACTCAGTTGATGTCTCTGAGAAGATGTCGGCTCTTGAAAAATGCACTGAATATGATCTGGTTTCAGCAGTCAATAGGCAAAGCCCATTTTACTACCAGGTGACCGTTGAAACGCTTGTCTCAACTGCGTTGTAATGAAACCACAATTTCGGATATTAACCAAAACAACAAAACAAGCTTCTGTTGATCAATCACTCCTCTTGATGAGAGATATATCTTCTGAGTCAACTTGCACGTTGATGATTACAGAGCTTCTTATTCCCGCCCATAGAGCCTTTTACTGATTTTATATGACTGGACGCTGTTTCATGTCCTTAAATAAACTTACAAGGATACGAGTTAGAGGAGATCTGATGTTTCGCATCCTAGTAACTAGTGTAGTTTCACTTCTGAGAAGCAGCCTTATGTTCTTTCTGTTGTTTTTGCTACAGGTTTCCGGAGCTCATGTAAACAATGACGTCTTCCTGGATGAAGCCGTGGCGAGATACAAAGGCTTTCTCCACGTGATCAAGAGAAACAGAGAGAGGTCCATTAAACGTTTCTGTGTTCCAACTTACGATATTGACCTTATCTGGCACACTCACCAGCTTCATCCAGTCTCCTACTGCAAGGATTTGGAAAAGGCCATTGGCAAGATCCTTGAGCATGACGACACTGACTCCGACAGGAGCAAAGGTAAGAAACTTGATACCGGGTTTTCTGGAACTACGGCCCAGTGGGAGGAGACATTCGGTAGAAGGTACTGGAAGGCTGGTGCTATGTATAGAGGAGGTGCCCCTGCTCCTGTCACAAATTCTCCATTTGCATCTGACCTTTTAGGTAAAGAAGTATCGGCCGAGGATAGTGAGTGCCATAATGTAATCCAGTTTCCAGAGGTGGAAGCTGTTGAGGTAGTTTCTTGCATCCTTGGTCAATGGTCTCTTCCATTTGATTGGTTATTAGATCATATGCTTTGGCCACAGTTGTGATTCTTTTACATTCTTCAGGTTCTTCTGGAGATTGTCGGGGTTAAGAACTTACCAGATGGTCACAAGGGAAAACCCTTTGTTGTGTTCAGCAAAACCCAGCCTGATTCTCTGTTTAATACCGAACGTAGACTGACTGTTCTGTCCGAGTCGGGGCAGAAGCAAGTTGCTTCATTCCAGTGTGAACCGAAAGGAGAGCTTTGTTTCAGACTCATGGCTTCATCGCCTTGTAAGATACCAGTTTCTAAGGAACCTAAAGACTTAGGTTCTGCTTCTTTGTCCCTACGGGAGTTCCTAGTTCCAGCTGCTAAACTCTCTGTCGAGAAATGGCTGGATTTGACACCTCCGGGTAACAGCAAGTCGGATTCGAAACCCGTAAGCCTAAGGGTTGCTGTCTCAATTACCCCGCCAACCCGCAGTCCACCTTTGCTTACCATGGTTCGGTCTGGATCATCACTCAAAGGTTCTTGCTTTCCCATGCTCCGAAAGGCTCGTCCTGCTAAGAGTTCGACACTCATTGTTGATGAAACCGAAGCTGAGGTCATCAGCCTCGAAATGAGGTATGAGAAAACCAAATCCAATCATGTATTGTTTTTTTTAATGTCTCCATTGTTATTAACCATTGTAGCAGAATTCTCCATATATATCCTTTGAACTTAAAAGCTACATTTTCTCTCGTGGGTCTACAGGAACTCTAATGGCGGAGCAGCTAAAGGTGACAACACTGTTAAGAAACAAGTGATTGGCATTAAAGAATCTGGCGAAACCCTTGTGCTCGCTGAGTTTACTGGCAAGTTCTGGAATTTGCTGGACTCAAAATGGTCTCTGAAGCATCTAAACAGTCCAATGGCAGATGGTCCTCTCTTCCAGCTTTTGGGGAGTCATTTGGTATGCACTTTCATCTCAGCTCGAATCTTCTTCGTCTCCATATCCATGTCTTCAATGGTGAATATTACATGATTTGTACAGGTGAAAGTTTACTCCGGGAGAAAGCTGGATTATGAGCCAAAGCACTGCACAAAGCGAAGAAGTGACCAAGATTTCATGACTGCAGTAGAGTTCTCAAAGCAACACCCATATGGAAAAGCTGTGGGATTGCTCGACTTGAAGTTCCGTTCCTTCGAGGTGAGCTTTCATGGTAATGCTACCCAGAATCTGATCCAAATGTTTGGTCTGATCGATACTCCTGTCCTTAACCATGACATGTACAGGCAAAGGAGAACTGGGTGGTGTTACCAGGAATCATATCTGCTTTTATACTTGATTCTATCCCGAAGAAGGAAGGATTTGGTGGGTGGAGTGCCGCAACAGAAGATGAAGTGGAGGTAGGAAGTGAGGTTAATGCAGCACCTGAAAATGGCGGCGGCTGTGGAAGCGGATGTGGAATAACGGCAAATGCGGCAGACTCTGCTGGCTGTGGAAGCGAATGCGGTGGTGGGTGTGGTGGAAACACGGCGAAGGCGGCAGGCTCTGCCGGCTGTGGAAGCGGGTGCAGTGGTTGCGGTGGTGGGTGTGGCGGGAACATGGTAAAGAGCGGAGGGTGCGGTGGTGGATGTGGGGGGAACATGGTCAAGAGCGGTGGTTGCAGCGGTGGTTGCGGCGGTGGCTGTGGAGGGTGCGGTGTTGGTACGTTGAAGGGTGCAACCGGAAATTCCCCGGCGCAAACTGAGGCGGTTGCTGCTTGATGTCTGTATTCGTTCAAGCCCTGAAATGGAAGGTTCTATATATCTGTGTGTATATATATATATGTGTGTATGTGTGTAAGAGAATAAAACAATGTGTAATGGCTCTTTGTAAGAGCAACGTGTGGTGTCTGCCTGTGTAGTGATATTACATAACTGTCAAGTGTGTTCTGTGATATATTTCAAGTTTGTGTCTTCGTTTTTCCTACAAGCTTTGAGATCTTGGATCAAACAGTAGAACACACACACATATATATATATATATATATATATATATATATATATATATATATATATAACAGTGTTATCAGACATTACAAATGCAACATCACAGCACATAAATTATAAAATTTTATAAAATTATTCCCACGAATGATATATATATATATATAGATTCCATTAGAAGAAAAAAGAAAGAAAACCGGGCTGCCATCTCGGCGAGGAGCTGCGTATTGCGGCGGAGCCATCACCGGAGGCCCCTGGTTATATCCTTTTCATCCACTCACAACCATAAAAATTCAATCTTTTTAAACCAATCAACTTCTGATGATCGATTACATACGCCTCAACAACACTATCAGCAACCAATACACACACATATATATATATATATCATTTCACTTTTTTTTTATATCTTTTTTCACAAATTACAAATATGCACGCATTTATTGCAATTTGTAACTGTAAGTCAAAAGCATGCAGTCACTTTGTCTGTGGAAATTAAGGGTTCCATGTCGATTTTCTTTTGTGGACAAACATTGCAGCGAGTCATTGAAACTTTATATTCTGTGATGATTATGGGATGAGCAAATTTGAAATCTTCTTTGTTTAGGACTCAGAAGTGAATACTGCAACATTTTCTATAACAAGCTTTATCCCTTCAAAAATAAATATTTTTCAACAAAATTGTTTATAATAGAAAATACAAATAAGGAATATGTTAATCTTTTTAGAAAATGAAAAATGATAATTAACGATACAAAAGTGTGATACCCAAACAGGGAATAGACGATTGGCGTGGTGTCACCATTTGGACGGGTCTTCTTGTCCGTTAATACATTCACCTTGAGAACTGAGTCTCGTCTTTTGACCAGTCATAGCCCTTGTAACACAATACGCACACAATCACACAGGTTGTGTGCCTATTTCAAAAGGCTTCACATACGAAGACAAGACTCTGAAGTGTTGCTTCATTTTGACATGTGATGATAATAATAATATATTTTAGAGCAGCTTTTGGTTGTTCATTCACATGCACCAAACATTATGGCAGTGACAAAGATTTGATTTCACCCAACAAGTTTTAAGCATTTTACACATTGCTTAGATACCCCCCCCTTCCCTTTTCTTTTTGTTAAAAGACCCTTGTCCTCAACCCTTCTCTCTTCCCTTGAGCTCAGGGATAGAGATCAATGGAGCAAAAGGAAGATGGTTTCATGGAGGATGCCATGGAAGCCAGAACAGAAACATGGGCAAATAATCTTTGCAACAATGAGGTTTATGATCTCCGCTTTCCAAATGAATGGAGCTTTGGTTGTTTCAATGAAATCCCAGTTTTACCAACCTCAACCCCATCTTTCATGGAACTCATCTCCAACCCAACCCTTGCTGAATGTCCTTTCAGCATGATCTCAGAAGATCACTTGCAGTTTTTTGGTGGAGGATCATTTGCCCATGAAGAATACAACTATGCACCATCACTCTTTGATCAGGAGCAATGCAACATTAGCTGCTGCAAAGTGGAGACTAACAGAGACAACATTATCAATGTTTCTCATGACAGCAAAGGTAAGGGTAAGGTTAAGAATTTACAAGGGCAACCTTCAAAGAACCTATTGGCAGAACGGAGGAGGAGGAAAAGATTGAATGAAAGACTCAGCATGCTCAGATCAATTGTCCCCAAGATCACCAAGGTACATCGAATCTTTTGCAAAGTCATGACCTTTTCATCAGGACTCTTTTTTTGAGGTATATTCTAAGAAAATGGGATTGGGGATGCCACTAGATGGACAGAACTTCCATTCTTGCAGACGCGATTGACTACATGAAAGAGCTTCTGGATAAGATCAACAGACTCGAAGAAAAAGAACCAGACAATTCTAGGAACCCGACCAATCTTGTACGGGGTCTCAGACAACTCAAGAACACAAAAGCAGGAGCAACAAACTCCCTCAAGGTAATGAAAAGGCAGAGATACACATAAATTTGACTTGGATCTTGATACTTTGACACAACTAATATTCAATTTCTTCTACATTCATGTAAATGATGTTGCAGTTTGAAGTAGAAAGGAGAGAATGTGATACCCGGATCGATTTCTGCTGTGAAGCCAAGCCAGGGCTGTTGTTATCAACAGTCTGCACTTTGGAGGCGTTAGGACTGGAGATTCAACAGTGTGTCATTAGCTCCTTTGGGGACTTCTCATTCCAGGCTTCATGTTCCGAAGTAAATGCAACTTCTCTGTACATATAAAATCAATGCACTCTTCTGCACTTTTGTGCGCTGTCCATAATCCACGTACTCGTGCTTTTCAACTTTCCCTGAAATCAGAATGCAGAGCAGAGAGAGCTACGAGGATGTGAAGACTTAAAGGAAGCATTGTTAAGAAATGTGGGATATGGAAGAATTTTCTCATAGAACTTTGCAGAAGCAATATTAAGGATTTTGTTGGTTAGAATGGAAATTAGAAAGGAATTATGTTACCAAACCATAAGAAGGATCTTCTAATGGTTGTCACATCTGCTCTTCACCCAAAAATCTTGGAAATGAATAAAATCTTCCATATACTATTTTATTTACATATCTTACACAAGAAACTAGTCCACATAGAATGCTCTAACCCCATGAGTCAAAGCATTCACAGCAATGGCCAGCTTTTGTTAGAGATGATAGCAGCACTGGTTACAGATCCTACAGTTATACAAGATAGTTGCGAGTCTTACTTGGTTAGAGATAGAATGCTTCATCTTCTTCTTCGCTTTCACCATGATCATAACAGAGCTCTGAAGAACTGGATGAGATCTCAGCTTCTAGACCTTTAAGCTTTTCAAATGCATCTTTCACACCAAAGATAAGGTTATCTTTGACTGCCCTTACTGAATCCTTCTTCTGAGCAGCAATAGGCTTGATATTTTCTTGACCAGACACCCTAGCAGACTCAGTCTTTCTCTTAGCTTCCCTAAGATGCAACTGATCAATGTATTTCTCGTGCAATGCCTTATTCTTTATCTGCTTTAGAACTGGAGGACTTGTGAGAGTTGTTGTATTTGCACTTGTGAATCTCGAACATGGTTTCTTATGTGCAGAAGATGATCTTTCTAGGATTTTCTGAACACTTGCCCCTGTTCGCATAGGAGTTGAAAGTGCGTAGCTTTTGGTGCTGGGCTCGAGAACTGAAAACAGGTCCAACCCATGACCTTGATCCACATGACATTGCTTCTCCAGTAGATGTCTAATAGTTCTCTTAGCAAAACGGTTCCTGCTTTGTTTCCTCACACCCAGTATTTTGGCCTTAGGTCTTGTAGGTTTCAGCAATTTGCTTGCAGAAAGCGAAAATTGTGGAATTGGTGATAAGCTTGTTTTCTTGGCCCTTGATCGTGGTTGAGGTTGGCGGGGGGTTATAAGGTCTGAATGCACTTTATCAAAACAATCCTGCGAAGATTTTCCAGGTACCTGACATAAAAGTATTTGAAGGATCAAATTTATATTTATGTTACTGGGTGCAACACCACATAAAAAAATATATAGGGATACAGACAGACAAATAACTGGCACTTACTAACATCAACATGACAATGCCGATGAATTGAAAGAGAGCTGAAGTATAATCATACAAGTCCATTCACAAACAAGAACCCCTTATGCATTTTTTGCAATTGTTCATGCTCGTAAGCAAAGGAAACCCAAAACGTATTAGATTGATTTTCTAACCTCAGTATCAGAAACCCATAGGTAATTTGTTCTGCATAAGTTGTTATCGACTTCAACTTCTGAACCATTACATAAGCACTACGATGAACCACCCAGAAAACAAAAAGTTACTGAATACATCTAAAACAAGATTAAACAACAAATGAGCAAAAGAAGAGAAAAACGAGGAGAAAGTTACCAGTTTGGAAACCTTCTTCCAGAAATTAGGGCTGGGCTTGGCTGTAAAATAAGCTTTCTGCAAAGCCAACTCTTGCTCCTTTGTCCACCCATGAATGACCCCACAACTACCTTCTCCATCAAGTTTGTTCTTCAACTTCAACTGATCCTCTTCTCCTCTACTATCAATTATGTCACCTCTTATCATCTTCTCCCTGACAGCTTTTACCACAGACCGCATAGAAGACCTTGCAGTTCCTCTATTAGATCTTAAGCCTAAAACTATTTCCCGTTTCTTCTCACCTTCACCTGCAATCTCTACAGTGGACTCAAAGATCGAGCTACTCAAAACATTTTCTTCCTGTCTGTACGATTCATTTGCCTGGGCGAGTAACCTATCGCCTTTCCTCCTTTTCCGCTCGCTTCGGCAAACACTCACTCTGCCTTCATCACAAGCTACAAATGCTTGCTTAGACTCTGAAAGTATACAACTTCTCCTTATGCAAATTCCATCACTTGAATCTAAGTCACCTTTACCGTTCCTTTTTTCAGATTTTGTATTACATCTAGCAAACACACTTTTTCCCAACTTCTTCATGTCCGAAGAAAATTGACCCACAGAATCTCCCCCGCTCGAAAACCTGTGTGACCGTCTCAGCTTACAAGAACTATCACTCGAACTGCTCCCTTCTTCAGGTTTAGTATTACATCTACCCAAAACCCTTTTACCCAAATCATTCCTGTCCAAGGAAGATTGAGCCACAGAACCTCCTCCACTCAAATACCTGGGAGACCGTCTCAGTTTACAGGAACCATCGTTGGAACTGTTCAATCCACAAGACGCTCTCGACGCAATCGTCGATATCCTACAAGACGATGAAGCAGGCGAAGTCTTGCTGGAATTACATCGAGTAGATTTCTCTCTTTCGGAATTGGAACATCCCCTACATGAAAACCTAGGAGATCGCCTTAAAGAACAAAGCCCCTCCATTGAAACACTCGATTCCGGTGACATCTTCGAATTCGCACAGGAAAATACACCACCCAATGCGTATACTAACCTCTTCGGTGCTTGACGAGCGACACCTTGACGGCTTTTCCTCAAAGCTTCTTCGTCCTCCGTCGGTGTCGGAGCAGGGTACGAACCCGCGACCAAGTCATCCCCGAGTTTCTGGTAATCATCATGATTCTTCCGAGAAATAAGTCTCGCAGATCGACGGAGGACAGCTGTGGCGGATTCCGGCGTCGCAGCCACCGATTTTCTTCTCGACATTTCAGCGAATCGATTGAGCTCCTTTGGGAGGGAAATTCTAGGGCTCGTCGATTCAAATTTGGGAACATACCCACCCGTAAAAAATGTCCAAGAAGGCCCAAGCCCTTTCTAACTTAGGCCTGAATAGTCAATTTCAGCCCATTTAATTTAAAATTTTTAAAAATAAATACATAAAATCTGAGGAAAATCATATACATTAGGAATATAGAGACGCACGAGTTCTTTGAGGAGCCAACATCAGGCACCACGAGATGGCGACACGTATGTACACATCGGATACCACCCCCAACGTTTTGACTTCCTCATGACCTATAGTACCTAGACACGTGTCCACTAGACGTTCGTTTGGCCGAGCCGATTGCTTAATCCTGGCCGTTGATCATCAACATCATCGCCTTCAGAACTACCAAATATTTCGTCGTGTGCGTATGATAAATCCATTATTTATTTAATTACGATAGTAAATGATGATGCAAAATATAAATAATCAGGGTGGGACAAAAATGTCAATGAGCCATTATCAGCAAGGGGAAGTGGTCATAGTGGAATGTTTGGCAACAGATATATCAATAATTCCGAGAGTGATTCGATGTGGTGTGGTTAGTGCAAAGTTCATCATTGGCTTCTTCATAGTTTTGATAATAAAAAATAATAATTTAAACGAACGTTAATTATTTCACTCACAGTAAAATGTCTCCCTAGTGCTTTGTCAATTTCACCCACAGACAATGTCGTTTTGGAAAAAGAATATATATGGGATTTAAATTGATGGGTTCAAATGAATCAGAATTATACTAATAAAAATAATATAGTTATCGTGATTACAAACTTTGAATAAAATAAAATAATGGACCACAACATTGAATTTGATAAAGTAGGTGTTTGCATAAATACGCCCATACACCATCATATGGTGTGTCTCCCAAAACCTTTCTTCAGCTTAAGCTATGTTTAGTCAATTAATTCTTATTATATACACTATTTGAGCCTCCCCCCTCTTGTCTTCTCCCCTTTCACAATCATTCTCTTTACGCATACCACCAAAACTTTATATTATAAATATTCTCTTCTTCCAAATTAATCTACTTTTTTCCATGGACGAATAATATTTATATAAATGTGTGCATATAAAGTATTAGATTTTGCTTGATCCTAACAATAAAGTTTATGAATTTTAAATTCCGTTGAAAATTTCGAGGCTCGGCGGATGATTGGCTGTTCAAACCCTTTTCTATCTATACCAACGACATTAGATAATAAATATCATAATGAAATGTAATTAATCCTCTCGACCTTTTTTTTTATAAACGAGAGGAAAAAAAATACCGGCCGTTGTCTCATTCACCCTTTTAAAACCAGATAACACACAAGAATGATGTCTGAAATTAAAACACTTTGATTAAATTACGTGAAAACTCGAATTACACGGGTAACTGCATGCATGCATACGATATTTTACAATGTAAAATGTGGATATATATAAAGAAAATCGTTGTAAAGAGACACTGGACCAAATAGAGGGCTTTCCTTCCTCGATTGGGAGAAATCGTTCGTATCTATATTTAGTATCTTGGACCTTATAGAGGTTGGTATTCCGAAAATAATTAATGTCAATAAAACTATAATATAAAAATAATAATAAATTCTTCATTTATTGAAGATATTTCTTGTCTAGTATTTGTTTTACAGCAGTAAGTATTGGAGTCATTTATATAAGCGGAAACAATAAATTCTTCATTTTCATTTTAAACCACGGAATCAGCATTAATCGTATGTCCAATTTGTTCATAAGATTGTAAATCAAGTTGACAAATTGGCTGTGATATTTAGTAGCCAGGATGAAAAAAAAAATTAGCTACAGCATTGTTTGGAAATTTTAATTTTAATTATCATTTTAATTAAGCTTAGAGTTTGCATTCAATAATATCTATATATATAATCAATTTCGTATAGGCCGTTATGATTAATGTTATTTCCGGTATTTTGGAATCTAACATTTGATATTTGCTATTTTGGTCAATGAAACGACGAATGATACTTCTCGAGACAATGCATGACCTTTTTTTTTTGGCTTTCTATATGAGCCCATGTCGTGTAATGTACATTGTTTTTTACAGGGGGGTTATTTATTTATTTATTTACGTTTTCCATTTTTTGTACGGGTAAGGCCATTGCATTTAGGGTTAAGTTCAATTTATGTGCTAAAAAATAAAATGAAAAATAGAAATATATATAACCGTGTTTTTTTTATATATCTTATATCGAAATGAAAATATTGCATGGTTTCTAAGGCAAAAACGTTGTCGGACCTTGGAACTGTAATAACTACGTGTCATTTGTGATGAATTGAGATATTGCCACTGCCACCATTTTCTTCTCGCAGCGCAGCTGGTCTGGTCGGAGTCTCAGACTAATCTAATCTATATTCATAAAGAACGTGGTCGTACATGCATGCATGCATGAATGTACGTTAAAAGCTGTAACAAAGGCGTAACATTTTTTGAGAATTGGAAAAAGTGATTATTAATAAATTTCAATTCGTTTAAACAAAAATTAAATTAAATGCGCTAGGATAAAAATGGACCGACCCATGACAAACATTTAAGTACAGGGTACACAGTAGCTGCTGTTGGCGTCTATTAATAAGATCCTTGGGATCGCCGACCCATTCTATTGCTATTTTTTTTCTCGAATATAATGTATGTATTTATTTATGATGCTCATTATCTTTTTTCTTCTCGCATTTAATTGTTACCATACTCTATCATAGGTCACATATTAAATGTTTTTTTTGGGTAACCATGTTAAATGTTAAAAAGAGCTTTACAAGGTACTGATACATATTTATGCTGACGTGGAAATTTTGCTTAGGAGTTATAGTTAGACATTGAGAAGGTAATGGACTGACAAAGATTGAATGCTTGTTTGCAAGGGAAACGGTACACGAAAATAGCGTATTAAATAACAGAAATTAGAAATATATCACTTATTTAGATTTCATTTGATAGAATAAGGATATTGTATGTACTGGTCTATTGATTTTTTTAATTTTTTTTTGTAAACATAAGGATACTGTTTTGATTTTTGATTTTCCAATTTTAAATATTTATTTGAATTCAATTGGTAAGCAATATTCAATAGTTTTTGATTGGGAAAGAGAAGGATACACAGTTTAAATGCAACCCCACCATCTCTGCCTCTCTTAAATGCTCTCTCTATCTCCCTGTTTTCTCTTCATCGTTTTCCATTTTGAATCGATCTTACAGTTTCTCATAGAAACCGCAATTTAGAGAGCATATCTCTATCGCTACTCACGAGGAAGAAGAAGAAGGCATAATGATGAACGGTTGGAGAAGGGCGTTTTGCACTTCCGTACCCAAAGATAGAGACGCCGGAGGTGATTCGCCGGAGAATCATCGGCGCCGAGATAAACCCGCATCTCGATTCGGGTTTTTCTCCAACCCGTCCACGCCTCGATCCGAGACCAGACCCTATTCCGGCTCCAGCCTCCGGTGCCGGAAATGGGCGGCCACCGCCGTCGCCACTCCGTCTCCGTCGCTTCCTTGTAGCCCGAAGTTGCAGTGCAGAACCACCGGCGATGTAACTCCGGAGACACCGCCGCCGAAGGGAAACAGAAGCCCTGTCTCTCTTCTCAGCCTTTCTTCAAACCCTTCGTCGCCGGCGAGCTTCTCCCTGTTCAAATCCAAACTCTGCTTCAACAAAGTAAGAATCGAAAATGGATTTTTAACGTCGAACAAGCACAAAACGCATCGTGGAATTTGGCTGATGCTTTCTTCTTTTTGTTGGTTTCCGTTTGGGTTTTGGAGCAGAGTAGCAGCAGATGCGGAATCTGCGCACAGAGCGTGAAGGCAGGGCAAGGCACGGCGATTTTCACGGCGGAGTGTTCGCACACGTTTCATTTCCCGTGCGTGGCCTCACGCGCCGGCGACTCCAAGCTCCTCACCGCCTGCCCCGTTTGCGGCGCCTCTTGGAGACAAGCCTCGCTTCTCTCTCTCTCTCTCCACGAACTGGGTGCTGAAAATTATCCGAAACCCGGATCCGAATCCGAGTCCAGGACCCGGGGAACTAAGAGCAAGTCGCTGAGAATCTACAACGACGATGACCCCTTGATTTCCTCTCCGATCTCACTCACTGGTTTCAACCCCATACCGGAATCCGATGAAAACGATGACGACGACGACGAGCAAGACAACGGCGAGTTCAAAGGGTTCTTCGTCAACACGCCATCACCGTTAACCGCCAAACTACTGGCGGATCCCGCCTCGAGAAACGTCGAAGTTAAGCTGTCGCCGGAGGCTGCGATCGTGGCGGTGTCGAGGGGATACGAGACTTACTCGGTGGTGTTAAAGGTGAAGTCGCCACCGTTCCCGGCTGCGCGTGGGGCAGCGCGTAGAGCTCCGGTGGATTTGGTGACGGTTCTCGACGTGAGCGGGAGCATGGTCGGAGGCAAGGGCGAGATGCTGAAGCGCGCGATGACGATTGTGATATCGTCTCTCCGCGAGACGGACCGTTTGTCGATCGTCGCGTTCTCTTCGAGGTCGAAGAGGATGTCTCCGTTGCGGAGGATGACGGCGAGCGGCAGGAGATCGGCCCGTCGGATCGTCGACACGCTCATCGTTTCCGGCGCCGGCGAAGGGATGAGCGTGAACGACGCGCTTAAGAAGGCGGCGAAGGTCGTGGAAGATCGCCGGCAGAAAAACCTCTTCTCGACTATCTTCGTCTTAACGGGCCGTCACAGCGACTATCAGGCCCAACGGGCCCAGTTGGATGTGTCGTCCACGCGCATCTCTCAGTTAGATATCCCGGTGCACACGATTAGGCTTGACGGCATCGGCGCGTGCAACCAGTTGCTTCCAGAGGACGCGTTCGCCAAGCGCGTCAACAGCTTGCTGAGCTTGTCCGTACAGGATCTGAACTTAGAGCTCGGATTGGCGTCCGGGGCGGGTCGGGGAGAGATAACGTCGGTTTACTCTCTATCGGGTCGACCCGGTTTGCTGGGCTCCGGTTCGATCCGGTTCGGTGACATGTACGCCGACGAAGAGAGAGAGGTGCTGGTGGAGGTAAAAGGCCCATCCGGTGCACCCCACAGAATCATGACCGTACGATCTCGCTTCGTGGACCCCACATCCCAGGAGATAAGAAGCTCCGAGGATGGGGCGCTTCTGGTCCCACGGCCTGAAGCGGTTAGGTCGTCGAACCAGAGAATCGCGTGGCTCAGGAACATCCACGTCAGCAGGCGAGCGGTGGCCGAGTCAAGGAGGTTGATGGAGGGCAACGATTTCGCGGGGGCTGAGCGAATGCTGACGTCAGCGAGAGCGCTGCTAGGGCAGTACGAAGTGAGCTCGGGTGACTCGTGCTTACGAGGCGTGGAAGCTGAGCTGGCAGAACTGAACCGAGCGAGGGGAAGACACGTGGCGAGCAAGGGAAGAGACCAGGTGGCAGAGGTGATGACGCCGACGTCTGCTTGGAGAGCGGCCGAGAGGTTGGCTCGAGTGGCGATCATGAGGAAGCACTTGAATCGAGTCAGCGACCTCCACGGATTCGAAAACGCCCGATTTTAGTTTCCCTTTTCTTTTCTACTTTTATTTCGTGTTTGCTGTTTCGATATATATTATATATTTTAAGAATTTTGTAATGATCTGTTACGAAGAAGAAGAATGGTATATAAAAGAAAACGAACATGCTTTAATTTCCATTTTGTATATTTACATATATTAGAAAAGCAAAACAGGGTTTTCAAAAGTGCATCTCTTTTCCGATTAAATATCAATAAGAAGGCAGCTGGTGGTGTATTCAACGTGTTTCCTTATAATGGGTGTGTCGAATTAGATATTAAAAAGAAAATATACGACACAAAATGGGAGCCACCTTGATTGGTTGTATCCCCGTGATTTACATGTTGACGGCGCAATTCACTCATTTGAGTCGGGGGATGGTCTTTGTGCATTGAATAATATCTCTCATAATCATTGCCTCAATCTTCTAGTGCTTCTAATGTGTCCCGCACTACGTTTTATACTCTTCTTTCCCAACTTTTTCGCCCGTTTTCATCGCCAAAAATCTCTAATCAATCGGTCAAAAAAATAGGAAATATTATGCGGGTGGGATGCAATATCTAAATGGGCAGATCATGTAAATAAATGCGAGGATCGAACCATACAATTAATGCGAAGGGATTGTAATAAATAGGTACAGGGGTGGACGTTTCGGGAAACGGTTCGGCTTCGAGACGAGATAGATCGGTTCGGTTTTACAAAAATAGGTACCAATCGGTTTTTATATTGTGTTCGGTTCGGTTTCGGTTGATTCCTAGTTTTATTAAAAAAAATATAGATTTTCTTTAAAAATATTCGGTTTTTCGGGATTTTTTAAAGTTCGGTTCAGTTCGATTCGGTTCCGAGAAAATTCGGTTCTCTAAAAATAATACTGTTCGAGAATTGAGAATGGTTTCGGGTCGGAAAAATTATCATTTTTTCGGTTCGGTTCGGTCCGGTTTTGCATTCAGGGTGAGCTGTTTCGTTGAATGGTCCTTGACGCTTTCTGCGTCGGGGTTTTGTGAATTTCCGACAGAACCACGTACAGCCTAATGAGTGTGCACTCATTTGATTGCACATGACCCTACGGACTAGGCGAACGTGACAACCGGTTAAAGTCCCCACGCACCGCATGTGTGATTACGCGTTCACGAGTTATTCCTTTTCGGATTAAGGTTCGACAATGATCCTTCCGAAGAACCAAACCTAAACGCCCACCCCTGGTAATAAGCACTGAAAGAATTTCTATTTACAGACAGCAAAACAAACATGGGTCAAAGTTCAATGAGACAGACCACAACATTACATTCAGACAGATGGGATGAGTGGGAAACTGATATCATTGTAGGGGGCTTTCTTCTTCTTCTTTTATGCTGTATACACTTTTGGTAGAGGAAACGAATTATGGGGGCTTCGTCTAAAACTGCAGCGGCCTACACTGGGTTGCGTCAATATCGGATGGGCAGTAGGGGCATTTGAAGGATTTGGAGGCATTCTTGGACATCTTGTTGATAGACTGCTTGCAAAGGACATGCCCACAAGACATCATCATCGGCGGGTTATCATCGCTGGATTGTTCTTTCGAAACCGGGCAGACAAACACCGAATGGAACTGAAATTCCTCCGACAGTTCGACCGGGATGGGCAGTTGCTCCATTGTCTGCCATTCCTCCTGCTTCTTATTCACCATCAGGTTCATGTATTTCAGAAGAGGAGGTAATGCTTGGTTACCTGCTGCTATCGTTACGCCCAATGGGCTCTTGTAGGATTCACCGAGTAGGTTGCAGTATTGTCGGGTTAACTCCTTCACCGCGTTGTTCCACGGGGCTGGTGACAGGAACTCTGCATATGGGGATTTATCGAGTTTTCTGTTCCACAAGAGAGAACACATTAGCTTCTGGATGTCTGGAAGGCAACTTTCGGCAAACATGGCTATATGTTTTCTCGCGTAGTCCAGAGCTTCGGCTGAGTTCTTCTCTTGTACTATTTCCAGGAAGTGCAGGCTGCGGAGTTTCATCTCAAGATCAGACCGTACTTGCTTTAGCTTCTCAGAGTTCGACACTGCCCAGTTCAGAGCTGGTCCAAGATCTCGTTTCTTCATTGCTTCTAGTATTTCATACATTTCCATGAAAGACTGTCTGGCAGAACATTCGGCCTCACCCGTCTCGGCGATGAAACAATCACCGATCTCAAACATGCCTTCCCTGTAGAAGAAGTTTGCAATTATCTGGTTAACAGTATGGGTGTCGAACTCGACGTTTCTGTAAGCCTTTGACATATCTGGAGGATTCAGGGTTTTCTCGAGAGCTTTAGGGTATTTGCTCAGAGCCACGTTAAATTCTTTCTGACTGGCTTCCAAGTGACTGATTGGAGCAATCTCCAGCAACTTTTTCTTCAGTTCAGAAACTATAGATTTGTGATCAAGTGGAGCATCTGGCGGTGCTTCCTGTATCATATGCAATGCCTTCTCTATTTCTTGAGCCAACTTGTCTACCACTTCCTGTGTTTTACTATAGGAGAGTTTCTGCTTCTTTGCAACACGGTCAAATGCATCCTTAATGCTTGTCAGCTCCATTCTCACGTAAACACTCACTCAGAGAATCAACAAAAAGCCCCTGAAATGTCAAAGAGCAAAAGAAACAAATATTAAATGTCAGGTCCGCTGCTATGCCCAGATATTTTCCACAACAAAAAATCATCGATCTCTATGGTTTTCACATTGGAAGTTGCCAAATGCAGAGGAGATTAATGGAGAAGAACGCAGAGAACCAAAGACCACAAAACCAGATCATAAAAACCAACGAAGCATTACAAATGACCAAAATTTTGCTCTAAAAGAAATGCTACTGAAGCATGAAAAAGAGAAACTCTATTCCATTTCACACAGATCCTATGTAGAGAAAAGCTAAACTAAACCACCGAGGAAAAACGCTTACCTCAAAAGTGAGGTGTGATTCTGACGTTAATTTCCACCTACATAAAATAAAAAGTATAACCAAAAAGTGCAAGGCTTGACCAGGCTAAAGAGAGGTTACAGAGGCTAATCACACAGCTATGCACGGTATCTAACAACTGAAAACCATATGTCTAACAAGCTGGAAATAACTTGTACAGTTGTACTCTATCCATGCACGCATCTATTCCAATGATCCTCACAAGCTATATATATATATATATATATATATATATATCGCGCGTTTTCATCGCCAAAAATCTCTGATTGGAGCAATCTCCAGCAACTTTTTCTTCAGTTCAGAAACTATAGATTTGTGATCAAGTGGAGCATCTGGCGGTGCTTCCTGTATCATATGCAATGCCTTCTCTATTTCTTGAGCCAACTTGTCTACCACTTCCTGTGTTTTACTATAGGAGAGTTTCTGCTTCTTTGCAACACGGTCAAATGCATCCTTAATGCTTGTCAGCTCCATTCTCACGTAAACACTCACTCAGAGAATCAACAAAAAGCCCCTGAAATGTCAAAGAGCAAAAGAAACAAATATTAAATGTCAGGTCCGCTGCTATGCCCAGATATTTTCCACAACAAAAAATCATCGATCTCTATGGTTTTCACATTGGAAGTTGCCAAATGCAGAGGAGATTAATGGAGAAGAACGCAGAGAACCAAAGACCACAAAACCAGATCATAAAAACCAACGAAGCATTACAAATGACCAAAATTTTGCTCTAAAAGAAATGCTACTGAAGCATGAAAAAGAGAAACTCTATTCCATTTCACACAGATCCTATGTAGAGAAAAGCTAAACTAAACCACCGAGGAAAAACGCTTACCTCAAAAGTGAGGTGTGATTCTGACGTTAATTTCCACCTACATAAAATAAAAAGTATAACCAAAAAGTGCAAGGCTTGACCAGGCTAAAGAGAGGTTACAGAGGCTAATCACACAGCTATGCACGGTATCTAACAACTGAAAACCATATGTCTAACAAGCTGGAAATAACTTGTACAGTTGTACTCTATCCATGCACGCATCTATTCCAATGATCCTCACAAGCTATATATATATATATATATATATATATATATAGAGCAACATAAAAATGGATCGTAGATCAACTCGGGTAACATTGGAGCCCTACGCTTCCGAATCACCCTCCCCCGCGATAGCCCCTTCCACTGGGCTTGGATGGGGCGACTTCAAACAAATAAGGAATCATCTCGGCATGCTAACCAAAGCAAAGTTTCACTAAGCAACTCGTCTTGTCTAGCCTACAATGACAGTCGCCTTTTATTTGCATCAGATCAAGTGACCATCCTACAGTGCCCAGTTATGGAAAAACTATATTCGCTCCAACAACTACATACAAGTACAAGAACAATACACTGGTGAACAAGCAAGATGTCGAGAGAAAACATCAAGACTACAAAAATAAGACCGGCAAGGTAAAGCAGGCAACTCCTAAATCCACTGCATTTAATCACGCATAAGCTTGAAATTTCTACTCCTTGTGGGAATAGATCAAAGATCGAACAAACGTATTCATCGATCAAAGACAAAGGGATAATTCCATTTCTTCAAGTGATATCCTATCCAAAATACGACCAGACACAACTTAAAGCCAAAATGACCCCCAGAAACAACAGATCAACCGAAAAATCCATACAAATCAGAGATATTGGACGAGCCTAACTAACAATTCACGAATCAGCATAAAAAACAATGAAAACGAACATTACCAAAAAAAAAAAAATGAAAACGAAGAACATCAAAATAGCCGCAAATCAAAGCGATGAAGCAAAGAATCATAGAAGAGACAATTTCGATACAGATACACACATCTATACACATTCAAACATACCCGAAACAGAGAAAGAGTGAATCTACGATGGAGAAGATGCGATCAAAGTGAGAAGATGGAGTTCCTTCGCTTCCCGGAGGAGGAACAGAAGAGGAAACCGGATTTCGAATTTTTTATTTGGTGCGTGGTTATTTTGTTCGGTTTATATTACGGTCGGCGGTCGCTCTCTCCTCATCCTCGCGAGGGAGAAATCAGAAACCATCTTGGGTTAATTTCCGGAAAAATCTCAGCCGTTGGATTGCTGCGGTTTTCAATTCTCATCGGAACAGATTTTAACAATTATGGACATTTTAAATAGGCCCAGAAAGAGATTTTAATACTGACTTGAGGCCCAATGTCCCAAGGATTATTAGGCCCAATAAGCTTATTTTATTATTATTATTATAAAATCTACTTGTATAGATTGCGTGCCAAAAAATTCGGAACGGACAAAATATAGCAATTAACTATTTTTTAAAATTTATCAACCATTATCACAAAACCAGGATTAAGGATGTTAATACTTGTATAAACAGTCTTTAATTCTAAAAGAATAATATTCTGCTCCCCTTTATCGAGAGAGATCAGCTCCTCCGCTCCTCGGCAACGATCTCCCGAATTTCTCGCCGTGTCTTTAAAACGTCACCGTTTTCCGATTTCTTAAATTTATATTTATTTTTTAAAAGTTCTGTCTGTATCTAATATATTATTTTTTTAAGGGAAATAATCTTTTTGGTAGTTTCCCTTTTATCCTTTCAAGTTCAACGGGGAGATATACATTTATTTATTTTCCATTTCCTCCAAGGGAGAAGGGAAGGGGTAACGCTCACCATGGCGCATATTAGCATCGGTCTCTTTTGTTTCTGGGTCCTTCCGTTTCCCTTTGTCTCCCTCTCTATATTCCGCGAAATACCTAAGCCCAATAAGACTTCCTCCCCTCTTATCCCTTTTCAATCTCTTCGCCGCTTCCTTCTACTTATCACCGATCTGCGTAGCGCGTTGTCCTCTCTCCAATCGCCTCATCCGGGATCGATCGCCTTGTTCTTCCCCATCATCTTCAGATCCCGATCGATTTTTACCGATTTTCATCGAGTTTCGTCGGTGCCCGCGATCTAATTGAGGTATGCTGTTTAGTTTTCGTATCAGATCTGTGAATCTTGAATCTCTTTTTGGTGGGTTTTTTTTTTCTGGATCGTCTTTGAGATCAGCGGATTATGTTGTTTTGGGTTGAATTCGCTCGATTTCGATGCAATGAGTGACGATTTTCGGATAACTTGATGACCAAATTTGAATTCGCCTTTTTTTTTTGCGTTTGTTCCGTTCTTATCAATTGATATTTTCATCTATTTCTGATTAATTTCTTCCTGGTGAGGTTTTTGATGTAGTTTTTCATTCTAGATCGGTGTAGGTTTTGATCAATTTTATCCTGGACGATCTTCAGATGTGTTAATTGAGGCTATTTTTCCCTTGAAAGATTTGTTTTTGAGCTGTTTTATAAAAATATGGGATATCAGATTCATCTTGAAAGCTCTGATATTCCCAGTTTGATCGGATTGAATATCATATCTCCTTTCCTCTTATTGTAAAAGTTGCATGAACATTGGTTTTGTAGAAAAAAATGTCGACTTCGGCAATATTTTCTGTGAAATCGGTGTTTGTAAGTGAACGAACTAAGCAATCTTTCTTGTGTTATTGTTTGCAGGCGCTATTTGTTTTATAAGATAGTTTGCAGCAGAGATGCGGGGATATGAAGATGTAAGCCACTAAACCACCCGTTACATTCCCTCTGGTAAATCTTCAGATTTGCTTCGTAAGATGTCATAGTTAAATTCTGTGTTTCATGCAGGACATTGATGAGAATGCTGGATACGCCGAGTATGATGAATATGATGAGTATGATGATGACGAAGTGCCAGAAGAAGACGCGGCAGAATACGAGGAAGAAAAAGAAAGACAACCTACTAAAGAAGAGATGGAGTATCTTGAATTGCGTCAACGTTTGAAGGATTCGATTAGGAAAAAGATGAAAAGAGAAGGCGGGAATGCTCGATCTTCACAGGAGAAGAAGAGTAAACTCCCATATAATGAGTGAGTGCTTTGTTTGTTGAAGGACAGAAATTGCTCTGATCTGATGTTTATCTTTGACATGTTTCAGTATTCAGTTTGTGTTAAATGGCTAATTCTTTTTTGTCATCTGCAGTTTCGGTTCCTTCTTTGGCCCTTCTCGGCCTGTTATTTCTTCAAGAGTAATACAAGAGAGCAAATCGTTGTTAGAGAATGAGCAATTGACCTCTAGACTCTTAAAGTCAGGCCATGCTGTATGTGCAGCTTTCTTGCCCTTTTACTTATCATGTTCAATTGTTTGCTGAATCTTTCTAATATGCCTGTTGCTGTTGCATATGTAGCTTGAGCCTATGGTCTTCATCCCGTACTTGTTCTTATAATGGTGAGCTTGCTTGTATTTTGCAGAGCAAAAAACCTGTTTCAGTGGGCAGCTCAGGTTGTAAGAATAGTTCATATGACAAGAGACCTAAAGTTGTGAATGAGGTACTTGAGGCAGCCGATAAACATTATCTGCGTTGCGTTTTTGGTGCTAATTTTCCCTTCCTCATAGGCAGTTTCAACATGCAGGTGAAAAAGAAAGTTGAAAAACTCAAGGATACAAGAGATTACTCGTTCCTTTTTTCCGATAATGTGGATCTTCCTGTTTCTAGGAAGGATCCACCTGTGCAAAGCCGACTTGTTCCTAGTTTTGGTATGTGTTTCTTTACTGAAATTTATTTTATGTTATTTAAGTGATATTTAAGCATACCATTTTCATTGAGATAACTTATACAGGTTTTTTGCTGATGTTCAAGAGGCTCGATCTGCTCAATCATCAGTGAGGCCCAAACAGTCACCAGGTAACAATGGAAGAATTGCTCCTAGCGCTCACGAGGAAGGGAGGTCAGCTTCAATGAATGGGCAGATGCATTCCAGACCTGGCAGCTCTGGCAGCCAAATGCATTCAAGACCAATTTCCTCGGGTAGCCAAATGCATTCAAGACCAGCTTCCTCGGGTAGCCAAATGCATTCAAGACCGGCTTCCTTAGGTAGCCAAATGCATTCAAGGCCAGCTTCCTCAGGTGGCCAAATGCATTCAAGACCGGCTTCCTCGGGTGGCCAAATGCACTCAAGACTGGCTTCCTCAGGTGGCCAAACGCATGCAAGGTTGGCTTCTTCGGGCGCCCAAGTGCACTCAAGACCTGGTTCCTCAGGCGGTCAATTGCATCCAAGACCAGGTTTGTCTACAAATGGGCAAACCCATTTGAGGCCGGGGCCAGCTGCGAATGGCCAAATGCATCAATCAACCAGCCGGAGTAGCCAACCAAGTTCCAAATTAAGTTCTCAGAGGCCAGTTTCTGCTAGAAAACCTGATTCTGTGCCAATAGATCAAAGAAGGCAGCTGGGCAACAATAATGGAGTAGGCCCTGGCCGGCCTGCAGGGACTGCAAAGCCATTGCCTTCTAAGGCCCCTATTTCATCTCTGGAAAGGAAGGTCTCTGTCTCAGGCGCAAAGAGTTCTCTTCAAAATGGTCAGAGACCATCATCTTCAAGACCACTCCCATCTTCGAGACCACTCCCACCATCTGATCCTAGGCAAAGGGTCGAATCGAGAAAGTTTTCCCATGAACCCACAAGGTCTCAAATGATCCAGAAACAATCAGTGCCTCCTGCAAAACACCAGGTACAGTACAGCTTCTGATATCTGATTCTCCTTCTGTCTTTGGTAACTATGGTGGTGTAAGAAGTGTGGGTGCTTATACACCTGAAACATATGCCAGATGAGCAAACCGATCAAGCAAGTTCCAGCACGTGATGTAGTGAGGCCGAAGAAGAAGCCTAAAATGTCGGAGGATGAAGAAGCGCTCAGCTTGATTAGACAAATGTTCAGGTAACTAACTGCCTCTGTCCAATCAAGCCACTAGGCCTCTTTTTTGTTTGGACCCTTGTTGAATTGTGGAGTTTGTGCAGGACTGATCGGTTTGCGGGGCGGGAGGATGAAGGCGATGATAGTGACATGGAGGCCAACTGGGATGATATCATGAGAGAAGAGAAACGAAGGTACGCCAGAAAGATTTATCACACACTGAGGGGAAAAGGGTTTTGGGGTTGTAGATGTTTTTTCTTACTTTGAGGTAATGGGTGAATGTATACATGTATGCAGTGAGAGGATAGCGAAGCAGGAAGACGAGGAACAACTCAGGCTGATAGAGGAAGAAGAAAGGCGTGAAAGAATGAGAAAGACGGCTAAGATGAAGCGGAAGCACTGAGCCATTAATGGCATAAGCCCTCTTCTCTCTGGACCTCAGTTTTCAGGCTTCTTCATTGAATTATCTTATAATAATGGTTGATGGGTCAGTTTTGGGAATGTAATTTTTCCTTTTCTGGGGGCTTTACATTGCATTCCCTTTGTTCAAGTAGTTCACTTCATCCTCACAGTTGTACAATCAATTTATCAAAATCTATAAAACAATTAAAAGAAAACTCGATCTGTGTAAGAATTGTTCACCTCAAATGTTGGCATATTAGATATGCCAAGTGTTGTTATGAGCTCCTAGATGAAGGAAGATTCTCAAATGTTGACAAAATTTTTTGTTTTTAAGTAATGTCATTTTTGTTATAAATGAATAGTGAAGCTACATTACTGTTCACGCCGCATACGGTTACTGTTCATAAATACGTATACGTGAACAGTACTTCGGATTTTCTATAAATAGCTCATTTCCCTCATTCATTTGTACACAATTCCAAGAAAAGAAAATTATTGAAATCTTGTTCCCGGGTCTCTCAAACGATCGATTTCGGTTTCTAGTTAACGATCTGATTCTCGGGTCTTCTATATTTTCTTCGTTTTTCACAACACGTTGTCAGCACGAACGCTCTTCTACGACAAAGGTAATATTATATATTCGCTCTAATGATATATACACATATTAATTGATGCTTGAATAGAATTAACCCCAAGCTATATATAAATATCAGTTAATTATTGTTTAAATTAATGGACGGCTAAGCCGCCTTAATTATTTATTACTATTGGACGGCTGAGCCGCCTTAAATATTTGTTACTGTTGGACGGGTGAGCCGCCTTAATTATTAATCTGAAATATTGTGTTATTTATGGACGGTCGTACCGCCTAAATTGTTTTATCTTTATGGACGATGTTACTGTTGGACGGGTGAGCCGCCTTAATTATTAATCTGAAATATTGTGTTATTTATGGACGGTCGTACCGCCTAAATTGTTTTATCTTTATGGACGACAATGTCGCCTTAATTATTTTACTTTTGCATACGGTAATACCGCCGCATATAAACAATTATATTATCTAATCTATATAAATTAATAAATATTTATCATGCAAAATATTATCATATATAATATTGATGGTCATTTATACAAAAAATGTTTTGAACAAACAAAATATGTTAGTAATAAAATTTACGATTAAAGTTTTTATAAATTCTTTTATATATCGTTATATTAATTATAAATTATTTGTTTCCTCAATAATTAGTTAATTATATATATAGCATGATCAATTAATTTTACAAAATAGTTTAACAATTCGTTTTGATAAATTATTTCATATAGTTTCATGATATAAATTGTTAAAATCATTTATAAAATTTAAATAAATAAAAAAAAACTCCAACGGCTACAATTTAAAAAAAAGAAAAAAAAATCAAATTTTGGTTTCTCCCCAATGGCTAGGAATAGTGAATTTTACTTTATAAATACACTCCACCATTCACTCAAAAACTCACACCTAAATCATCTTTCTCGCTTCTTCTCCCACGAAATAAAAAAATCTCTCAAGATGGATTTTATTAAAATTTTCTTTGTTGTAGCAATTGTAGTAGCAACGTTTGGTATTTTCTTTGATAAAAATCCCGACCCAGTTTTGTTTCCAATTTGCGTTGCGGTCTTACCTCTCGTGTATGTGTTACTAATTATAGCAATTTATATGTAATCATGCATTTCGTTATGCTGTATTCTCTATGATAATGAATAAAGCTAATATATGGCTTGTTTTTTTTCTGTTTAGTCATAATGGCAGAATGGCTAATATCGAGTTCGAGGTCCTCGACATATCGGGGAAAAATTATCTATCGTGGCAATTGGATGTTGATTTGCACTTGAATCAAAAGGTCTTGGTGCTACAATTAAAGAGAAAAGTGCATCAAATGAAAATAAAGCAAAGGCACTAATATTATTGAGGCATCATATTCATGATGATTTGAAAAAGGAATATCTGACAATCAAAGATCATGCAGATCTTTGAGGAAAATTAAAAGAGCGTTTCGATCATAAAAAAACGGTAATCCTCCCCAAGGCAAAATATGAGTGGATTCATCTCAGATTTCAAGATTTCAAAACTGTTAGTGAATATAACTCGACAATGTACCGAATCACATCAATTTTGAAATTATGTGGTGAAATAGTTAGCGAAAATGAGATGTTGGAAAAAACATTTTCAACTATGCACGCCTCGAATATTATCCTCCAACAACAGTATCGAGAAAAAGGGTATACACAATACTCAGAGTTTCTCTCATGTCTTCTATTGGCCGAGTAGAATAATGAATTACTGATGAAAAATCATGCATCTCGGCCGACGGGTTCTGTACCATATCATGAAGTAAATGTTACAGAAAATATATCATTCCCTGGGGAGAATGTTATATTTTATAATAACCGAGGACGTGGTTATTTTCGAGGTAGAGGTCGAGGTCAAGGTCGAGGCCGAGGACGAGGTCGTGGCGTTAGCCGAAGTTGGAATAGAGGAGGTGGTCGAGGAATCTCATTCCAAAACCATAACAATAATAGAGGGGGAACACATGATAATCCAAACAAACGGATGAAAGAAAGCACATGTCACCGGTGTGGAATGACAGGACATTGGTCACGTACTTGTCGCACAGCTAAACACTTGGTGGACCTTTACCAAAAATCGATTAAAGAAGCGAAATGGAAAGGTGTCGAGACAAATCATGTCATAAACAATTCGGATGATAATGCTGGTGGTGCTAAAGATTTTACACACATGGACCTCGCTGATGGTTTTGCGCATCCTGAAGATGGCGTTGATTATGAATAAAAAGCCATATATATAGTTGCATCGTTTATATATGTAATCAACCTCGTAATAATCCATATATGCATAAATAATGCGTCTACATTTTGTAAAATAGTTATGTATATGTGTCATCATTTCTGTTAGTCATAATGTTATAATATATTTTCTAATGTTTACTATGTTGTTTTGTTCTTCAATAGATAATGAGTATGGCTAAATCTGCAAATCGAGGAGGAGATATATGTTTAGCAGATAGTGCTACAACACATACAATACTAACAGACAAGAAATATTTTTCTAGTCTGAAAATAAACAAAGGAAATGTCATTACTATATCTGAAAATGCAAAAATAATTGAAGGCTCCGGAAGAGCCGATTTCATAATGCCAGGAGGAACAAAATTTGCTATAAAAGATGCACTATTTTCCTCCAAGTCTCAAAGAAATCTATTAAGTTCTAAAGATATCCGACTGAATGGATATCATATTGAAACCACAAATAAAGGTGATATTGAATATTTGTGTATCACCTCAATCAATATGGGACAAAAATATGTGTTGGAAAAATTACCCACTCTATCATCGGGATTATATTATACTAATATCAATGTGATTGAATCATATGCCACAGTAAACCAGAAGTTTACCGATATGTTCAAAGTTTAGCATGATCGATTGGGTCATCCTGGTGCCATTATGATGAGAAAGATTTTCGAAAACTCTCATGGTCACCCATTGAAAAACCAAAAGATTTTTCAATCAGATGAGTTTCCTTGTGATGCATGTTCTAGAGGAAAATTAATAATCAGACCATCACAAGCTAAAATCGAACATGAATTACCATCATTTCTAGAAAGGATTCATGGTGATATTTGTGGACCTATTCATCCACCATGCAGACCATTTTGATATTTTATGGTATTAATTGATGCTTCAAGCAGATGGTCGCATGTATGTCTTTTATCATCACGTAATCTGGCATTTGCCCGATTTTTAGCCCAAATAATTAAATTAAGGGCTCAGTTCTCGGAATACTCAATCAAGAAAGTGAGGCTTGATAATGCTGGAGAATTTACATCACAAGCATTTAATGATTACTGTGTAGCAATGGGTATTGATGTTGAACACCCAGTTGCACACGTTCATACACAGAATGGATTGGCAGAGTCATTAATCAAACGACTCCAGCTTATTGCTAGACCATTGATAATGAAAACGAAACTTCCCATTTCTGTATGGGGTCATGCCATTTTGCATGCTGCAACATTGATTCGTATTAGACTAAGTGCATATCACAAGTATTCTCCATTGCAATTAGCATTTGGTCAAGAACCTAATATATCGCATCTCAGAATATTCGGATGCGCAGTATATGTATCGATTTCCCCACCACAGCGTACAAAAATGGGACCACAAAGAAGGCTTGGAATATATGTTGGGTATGACTCACCATCCATTATACGATACCTTGAGCAAAAAACTGGAGATATTTTTACGGCTCGTTTTGCTGATTGTCAATTTAATGAAAATGAATTCCCACCATTAGGGGGAGAAAATGATAGAATGGAGGGAAATAAAAATGATCTTAATTGGTGTACACCATCATTGTCACATTTTGATCCCCGGCAAAACAACGAGAACTGGAAGTTCAAAGGATCATACATTTACAAAATATTGCAAATCAATTACCAGATGCTTTTGCAGATACAACTAAGGTAACAAGATCATATATAGATGCTGCGAATGTCCCACCTCGAATCGAAATTCCGAAAGAACAAATGAAAGAAAATGTAATAAACGATTCCAAAGCACGCCTGAAGCGTGGACGACCTATTGGTTCTAAGGATAAAAATCCCCGAAAGAGCAAAGGGCCCAAGAAAAATGAAATGTTCGATTCGGAGGAACGCGTTCCAAATCAAAGAAATGAAGTACCTTATGATGATGGTATAAATAAAGACAATGAAAATCATGAGATCTCAATTAATTATATCAGTAATGGTACATTATGGAGTCGAAAAGAAATCAAAGAGATTGATGATATATTCTCTTATAATGTATCAAAAGAAATTGATGAAAATGAGGATCCAGAACCAAGATCCATTTCAGAGTGTCAAAAGAGACCAGATTGGATTAAATGGAGAGACGCAATACAGACTGAATTAGATTCGTTGAATAAGCGAAATGTATTCGGACACGTCATTATTAAACCGAAAGAGGTTACTCCTGTTGGATGTAAATGAGTATTTGTACGCAAAAGAAATGAGCACAATGAAATTGCTAGATATAAAGCTCGCCTTGTCGCACAAGGTTTCTCACAGAGACCCGGAGTTGATTATGAAGAAACTTATTCTCCTGTTATGGATGCGATTACATTTCGATACCTAATTAACCTTGCAGTTTCAAAGAACTTAGAAATGCGTCTCATGGATGTTGTTACTGCTGATTTATATGGGTCACTTGACACAAACATTTATATGAAAATCCCTGAAGGATTTAAAATGCCCGAAATATTGAAATCAAAACCACGAGAATTATGCGCTGTCAAGTTACAACGATAATTGTACGGGCTAAAACAATCAGGACGTATGTGGTATAAACGTCTGAGTGAACATTTAGTGAAAAATGGATATACAAATAATCCTATTTCACCATGTGTGTTTATAAAAAGGACGATGTCTGGATTTGTGATTATTGCTGTCTATGTTGATGATTTAAATATCATTGGAACTCCCCGTGAAATTCAGGATGCATCCACCTATTTAAAAGGAGAATTTGAGATGAAAGATCTCGGACAAACCAAGTTTTGTCTTGGATTACAAATAGAGCATTTGAATACGGGAATTTTTCTACATCAATCTAATTATACAAAAAGGGTACTAAAGCGGTTCAATATGGATAAGGCAAATCCCCTGAGTACTCCAATGATTAATAGATCATTGAATGTTGAAACAGATCCATTTCGCCCCCGTGAAGATGGTGAAGAGACACTTGGTCCTGAAGTACCATATTTAAGTGCAATAGGGGCTCTTATGTATCTTGCCAACTGTACTCGACCTGATGTAGCATTTGCTACTAATCTGTTAGCAAGATATAGTTCAGATCCTACACGAAGGCATTGGAATGGGATTAAGCACATTTTCCGTTATCTTCAAGGATCGATCGATTTGGGATTATTTTTCCCTAAAAGTACAAAACAAGAAATTGTTGGTTTTGCAGATGCAGGATATTTATCTGATCCACATAAGGGAAGATCACAAACAGGTTATATCTTCACAATCAATGGAACTGCATTAGCTTGGCGTTCTCAAAAGCAAACATTGGTTGCTACGTCATCTAATCACGCAGAAGTTATCGCGCTACATGAAGCAAGTCGGGAATGTGTCTGGCTTAGATCTTTGACTCAACATATCCAGACAGCCCAATCAATGGAACTGCATTAGTTTGGCGTTCTCAAAAGCAAACATTGGTTGCTACGTCATCTAATCACGCAGAAGTTATCGCGCTACATGAAGCAAGTCGGGAATGTGTGTGGCTTAGATCTTTGACTCAACATATCCAGACAGCTAGTGGATTATCAACCAATAAAGCTCCAATAATATTATTTGAAGATAACGCTGCATGCGTTGCACAAATTAAGGGAGGATATATTAAAAGTGATAGGACAAAACATATTCCTCCGAAGTTCTTTGCATACACTCAAGAGCTGGAAAAGAATAAGGAGATTGAAGTCAGATACATACGATCATGTGATAATGCAGCAGACCTATTCACAAAAGCTCTACCGACAACAATGTTCAAGAAACATGTACATAACATTGGAATGTGTCATCTACGAGACCTTTGATCCGATATACAGGGGGAGTGTGGAACTGCACTCTTTTTCCCTTATCAGGTTTTATCCCAACGGGTTTTACTGATAAGGTTTTGAACGAGGCAGTATAAGACACACAAATACATTTTGATTAACCGTAGCTCCAAGGGGGAGTGTTATAAATGAATAGTGAAGCTACGATACTGTTCACGCAGCCGGACACTGTTCACGCCGCCATATGGTACTGTTTAGCCGCCATACGGTTACTGTTCATAAATACGTATACGTAAACAGTAACTTCAGATTTTCTATAAATAGCTCATTTCACTCATTCATTTGTACACAATTCCAAGAAAAGAAAATTATTGAAATATTGTTCCCGGGTCTCTCAAACGATCGATTTCGGTTTCTAGTTAACGATCTGATTCTCGGGTCTTCTATATTTTCTTCGTTTTTCACAACAATTTTAGATTTTTTAGATGATTTTTTAAAATAATTTCTAATTTTAATTTCATTCTTAATTAAAATTAGTTAATTTCAATAAACTTAATTAATATTAATTATATTTCAGCCATTAAATCAAGGTATATATAATTAATGAATATAACTATTAAATAAGGAATATATAATTTTTTTTATAATATTTTTTAAAAAATTGAAACAAACGGAGTAATTATTTGTTTTAAAAAAAAAGACAAACAATAAAAGAAGTGAGATGACAGCGAAGGAGAATCTTATTGGAAAAAGCGAGTGAAACACTTTTTTCTTTTAATGGAGATTGCGTGAAACTAAGACCCTTAAGTCCAATCATTTTGTTAGATCAATGGTGACCGGCGAAGAAGAAGGCCACGACCACCGCCGTTCTCTCCCTCGCTCCTCCGCCGCCTCCGGGGATTCTCCGGACCCGTCGAGCTTCTCCCCTTCGTCTTCTACTCCCCTGGCTGAGCCTGAGACTGTTCGGAGCTTGGTTATCGTCGATGCATCCTCCGATTCTTCCCGCCTTTCTCCCGTTTGGTATTATCTTAACACTTGCTTTGCATCTCTTACTCTTCCGGTCGACAGTTGGGGACTTCGTTTGGGTTGGAACTGAGACATTATATCGAATGCTGTCGGATCCGCGCGTGTTCATGAACATTGTTTTGTTGAACCTTACCCAGAATTCGAATTTCAAGATTTCGTTGATTCATCATTTTGTCTACGTTGATTGTCCAAGAACTCAAGATCTGCAAGTTCTTGCGCATATCTTTTCTTTATATATAATTTTGTTAAAGCAAATAACGAGTAACTGAATTTACGGAGGACTTGATCTTTGGCAGAAGGCTGATTGTATTATATTTTCGAATTCCAGGTTACTCGTAATCTTTTGTGTCATTAACTTGCTAAACTATGTGGACCGAGGTGCCATAGCTAGCAATGGTGTGAATGGGAGTATCAAGACTTGTAATGAAAAGGGGATATGCATTCCTG